ACAATAGTTTATTGAATAAAACATAATTGGATGGGAATACAGATGCGCTAAACAAAACCCAAACAACTATGGTGAGCCTAATCATTCTTCTCTCCTGTTGCAGACAAGATTACCCCTCGGCAGGTAAGGAAAAGCACTTGTGTGAACTTTGGCAGAATTGAGAGATGGATTTAAAATGTCAGCATAAATCAACAGGAATGGCAGCACTTTATACTATCCTATGAAAGTCATTGATGCAGAAGTGTGACCTTTGATAATAGCCACATGAGATCACAGTCATTCCTACTTTATATTAATCTAAGAATTGTTTTCTGATTTCTGGAATCAAAACGGAAATCTCTTGACAAACTTAAAGTTGCACAATCAAGTTCTTAGATTAAAAACACAACACTCAAAACTGGGTCTAAACATTACATATTAAGAGTGCATTTCATGAACAGAATAATTACCTTGTGTCACATACATTATAAATCATGTGAAATTACGCTCTCGTTAGAAGGGCTGGCAGGCTTTCAATGTCCAATGTTATAATATTTGATAAGAAACAAAGAAAACTAAAGAACTACATAATTAATCTTTTGCTATGGATGCTCAATATTATAATGAAAAAATCCACAACTTTTCAAATAATAAATTATTGTTCTTGTTGTCAGCCCAGGCATTCTAGTGCATCTGACAGTTATTCTGCATTTGTACGGAATGATGTTTAACATAAAGGAGGGTATGAATTGGCATTTTTCTTATTTGAATGATTGTCCAAATCTATTCCTGGACACAATTTCTCATTATTATAGTATTTCTTCTTCAGAGGGTTTGTATCATGGAGAAAACAAATAATCTTATCAGTATTATCCAGAGTTCTAGTTTCTTTGTGTAATCTTTTTATTTACAATTTTACAAGATGCCATCTGCAAAGAAGAGCAAAATAAAATCTCTAAAGTTAAAGTCCAAGGTCAGTTTCCTATAGTGGCTGTTTGACTACCCAAACAGCTCTGAAAGATTCAGCAGCTGGACAACTGGGGAACTTGCTATTTGCCAAAAGCACATGAAAGCATTCCTCTTCTGAACGCAGATCTGATTTTAGAGCACGTGGATCTTCACTATTTATTTCCTACAATTGCTGAAATTGCTATGAGTTCCTGTTTTTTCTCTTCCTGATAACTAGTTACTGGTTCTTATATAGCCTTTCATTTTATCTTTCATGGAAAGTACAAATGTGATAGCTTTATCAAAGTTCAGCTTATCTATGCTACTTCTCTTTTCTCTCTATTCCTTCATTTAAAAAAAAGTTTGAGTTTTTATTTATTTGTCAAATTCACATTGCCACCCATATAACAAAACAAGTAACTCTGGACATTATACAATAAAGTTCAAAACAATTAGATAATAAAGATCTCAAGTAATTAGTATTATTATTGTTAAAAATATTTTAAAACTATAAAAACAAACGAAGCCGCCTCACAGCTAGCACAAACAGGTTTCTTTAATAAAAAATAAAGCAGCCTTTGCTTTAGTTCTGCTCTTGTCTTCCATTCACCTGCTCTTCAATCTCTTCTTCTCAAATTGCCTTTCTCTGTTATATTCAACATGATTTGCATCAGAGGTGGTATTCAGCAGGTTCTGACCAGTTCTGAAGAACCGGTAGCGGAAATTTTGAGTAGTTCAGAGAACTAGCAAATACCATCTCTGACTGGCCCCACCCCCATCTATTCTCTGCTTCCTGAGTCCCAGCTGATTGGCTGGGTCTTCTTTTGTTGCCCTGCACAGGAGAACGGAGCTGGAAAGCAGGTTAGTGGGGTGGGGAGGGAATGGAGATTTTGCAGTATCCATCCCCTGCCACGCTCACCAAGCCACGCCCATCAAGCCACACCACACATACCAAGCCATGCCTACAGAACCGGTAGTAAAAAAATTTGAATCCCACCACTGGTTTGCATGTAGTATATAGTGTAGTTGGTTATGCAGCTTGCAAGACTTTTATCTACCTACATGTGTCTTCTATATATAGACTCAATATGATTGTAGAGTGTTTCTTTTTCCCTTGGACAGATGCATCTATAAGCAAGGCATCAAACATTGGTGCTCTTTAATTTCACTTTTTGGCTACATGTCCGGCTCTTCTTTGCTGCCTATCTACCTGTTATGGAAAAGGTAATCACACAGAAAAGCTGAATCAAGACAAGCAGCATTCAGAACTTGCTCTCAAAATAAAAGTTGTTAGCTGTTGTCCATATTTATTTAATTAAGACTTGAATCATATTTTCACAGAAACCAACAGGTTTATTATCTCATTTATTCATTAAACATGAAACTCAGTCAACTGAACATTTAAAAATGTATTACAAATATCATTGACTGGTACTGATGGGTTGCTGCCAGCATCCTAGGTACCAACCTTGTCCTCGGAAGTTGTGGGAGCGGCATCACTTGAGACTTTCGATAAGAGATTGGACTGCCATTTGTCAGAAATAGTGTAGGGTCTCCTGCTTGGGCGGGAGGTTGGACTAGATGACCTACAAGGTCCCTTCCAATTCTGATTATCTGTTATTACCTGTTATCTGTTAACCAAGTAGCTTCTTGAAATATACAATCTTCCAAGCGGTGCAGTTTTTTTTACAATTCTGCTGGCATTGTTGCAGGAAGCTGCAACTTCTTAATGTATTTTGTAAAATTCTTGGACATGGTACCAAGCGCCCCAATGACAATGGGCATCACTGTTACATGTTTCATCCTTAATCGTGTGGTTTCGATGGCCAAGTCACAATATTTTGTGATTTTTTTCCAGTTCTTTTTCTTTGACTCTGACGTCTCCTGGAATAGCGATAGCAATAAATTGTATGCTTTGGTTTTCAACAACTGTGATATCTGGCATGTTGTGTTCCAAATGATGATCCATCTGTATTTGAAAGTCCCATAAGATCTTCACCGTCTCATTTTCGACAACTTTTTCCACTTTATGTTCCCATGACTTTTCGGATATAGGTAAGTCATATTTTTTCAATGACCAGTGGATTAATTTAGCAACTCGGTCCCATCTAGCTTTGTAATCAGTTTGCATGATTTTGCAGCACTCACATAGTAAGTGTGAAACAACTTTGTCATTGCAAAGTCAGCAGTTTGAATTGTTCAGTGGATTTTTGTATCTTTAGTTTGTAGTGCTTGTTCTTGAGCAGCAAGTATTAAACCCTCTGTTTCTTTCTTGATGGTTCCCATCTTAAGCCATGCCCATGTCGTTATCACATTTTCCTTCAGATGCTCAGACTGGATTTGGCATTTCTGCCTATCTATCGAGTCCTTAACGAATCTTAACGGATCTTAACAAATGTATCTTTCCTTTATGTATACTGAGAGTATTTACACCAAGACAAATTCCTTGTGTGTCCAATCACACTTGGCCAATAAAGTATTCTATTCTATTCTATTCTATTCTATTCTATTCTATTCTATTCCATTCCATTCTATTCCATTCCATTCCTTACCAAGGATTTGGGGTAGGTAGATGTGGATGCTTGATGGTGTTACACATATTCTTGCAGGATGGAAGCTGTTCTCAGTAAAGCTGCCTTTTGCAATTGACTAATGGCAAATTTGTCAATGCCAATGGTGTTCAAGTGGTGATCCAGTTGTTGCTGTTATTCTCATTATTATTAAATTTATATGCTACCCATCTCACTGTTCAGAGTGATCCTGAATGGCTTACAAGTAATTAAAATAGCAATAGAAACCAATTATAAATATGAGAACAATTAAAATTAGAGTATTAAATATAGGCTAAAACATATGTTTAAGTGGGAAGGGGGTGCTGCACCAACACCAACCGTCTCTAGCTTAAAATGTCTACATCGGGACTCAAGTCTTAAGGCTCTTATGTCTTCCTTTTGATGGATCATATTATTACAAGAGGTTTCAGTGGGTCATGAAAGTATTTTTTTAAAAAAGTCATTGAGACATCACTTCATGCTAATTAAGAATCTTTACAAAATCCTTAGGTTCCAACCTATAAACACTTGTTTTGAGATTAAGCTCTACTTTAGTTATGTATAGAACTGAGATACACATAGATCTTTGTATATGTGTAGCTCTATTTTATTTTTGCATGCTTCATTAGGCATGTAAGTTTATGAAAATATTTTTTGTAAGTAGTAAGCATTTGGTTTACACAAATACGTGATGGAGAATTACACATTGGTTGCACAGACCTGCATCTAAATTCTACTTGAAGTTTATTCAGTTGTGCTTTTAACCATAGAAAAGGCAGATGGAAGTCTGGATTAAGCACTAAAATTAAAAAGCTCTTCTAGTTGTCTACTTTTTATAATATAGGCCACAAGTGGGTGTATAAAGGCCACCTCTATTTACCATCATGAGGTAGCATAATTATACTGGCACAGGAGTGTTTAGCAGTGGTTGTGATATTGGCAAATCTCCTAAACCTCTGAAACACATTAGCATTTGTCAACTATTGGTAAACTTGCTGGTATAACTAGATTTTGTAAATGTCCACATAGCAAGTTTTAATTAATTTTTCCTCCCCCCTTGGATTTTTTTTGAATGTGTCATGCTTGATCTTTGGATTTGTGACAGTGAATATTCAGAGAGAATATATACTACATATTTTATCTCCAGAATACTTTTCTTCTAGAGAGGATTAATAAAGCTCAGATTGATATTTGAGAATGAAAACAGCCCAAAGACACTGTTGAACTCGGAGGAGCATCACAGGATTGCATACTTCTGGAGACTACGTTTTTCCTTCGCTGGTAATCATGCTAGGCTTTTTGAAGAAGGAAATATAGGCAAAACAATGACTGATTTCTGCTTCTAAAATCAGAACCATGTCACACATAAAAGAATGAAGAAATCTCTAGCAGCAAAAAAAATACTGTTTTATACTCTTTTATTTCATAAAGGAAAAGTAAGAATAAAGATAAAGTTAAATTACCACAGAATTATACATTTCAGATAACAAAACAAGAAAAGTATTAAATTAGCTTTAATAATTCTCCTGTTATATGATATTGAAATATTTAATTTTCAGGTAAATTTTAGGGATTTTCTGGAAGTTACACTCCAAGGTACATGTTACAAAATCTTACATTGAGAAGAAAAAATATTCACAGATTAAGTGTCACATCCTTCGATTTGATAGACACTAAACAATAAATAAGTAAATGTATAGCTTAGTTGGCATTAAAGAAATATATGCAAGTGATTTAATTTCTGAGGGAAACCAAGAAGTTCTTTGAGGTACTACTTTGATGGTATATTCTTCTCTGTGATTTGCGGATTCAAAGTGTCTTCATGTTCATGACAAGGTTTTCTGACTTCATGTTTCTAATAGTACATCTAATTTAGTTTCTGCAACAGATGAAAATATTCACAAGTAAACATATGTCTGTCTGTCTATCTATCTATCTATCTATCTATCTATCTATCTATCTATCTATCTATCATCTATCTATCTATCTATCTATCTATCTATCTATCTATCTATCTATCTATCTATCTCTTATGATAAATGCATCTGCCATAAATCAGAAAGGTGTTGATTATGCATTTTAATAATATGGGTAAGGCAGAAAAGATAACAGGTTTTTTTTCCACCATAGACAGACATGGCTCTCCTGTTATGGCTTAACAGATTACTGACAATCCTGAGACAGCAGAAATTTAAAAAATTGCTGCATTTTAACTACCTGAATTGGTTAAAAGCTTTCCAAGTTTGTTAATTTGAAATCTATTTACATGCATGATGCAATTCCATGACTGGGTGTGCACCCAGTCTATCAAGGACTGCTTGCAGAGTAACCTTGAATAACGCAGCTTCGCAGGTACTGACACAGGAAGAAGAGCAAATGTTGACACATTTCTCAATTCCCAGAAAACATGACTGAAAAGAAGACTCCAGACTAGAGGCAGTGGCACCGGTGGCTAAACTAAATGTATGAGCATTGGCACGCACCCGCCCCCCTACTTTTTGGGGATGTAGTTTCCAAGCGTAATTACACAGTCCGGAGGATCAAGGCGTGGTGGGCATGTCTTCTCTCCAATTTATGTTCCTAAAGAGGAAAATAATAATAAAAAAAGGTGGTCTCCTTCGCTAACGGTAAAGCTAACCCGTCGCCCCCCCTCCCCCCTCCCCCCGCTTGGCACACGCGGGCGTCAAAGAGGGCAACAGCCAGGGCGCGAGCCAGGTGACACGCTTGAACGAGATAAATCCGGGGTAGCCGACGCGGGCGTGACAGGAGGGCGACAGTTTGAAAGCACCTTCGCGCGAGGGGGCGAGCAACTTCAGAGACGCGGAGTGCTCCTCCGCGTCCTCTTCCGACCGACTCCCCACACACTTGTTCACCCCCCTCCCATCCCCTTTTGAGGCGCAGAGACACCAACACAGGGGAGGGCGAAGCGCACGACTCCCCCCCCCCATCCCACTCCCCGCCCCACTTTGGCCGGGGGACGGATCCGACCCACACACTGGCCACCCTCTTAGCTCCCAGCGGCAGACGGCTAAACCGAGGCGGGGTCACATGCTGGCCTTGTGGGTGGCCAGGCGCCGCCCAAACGACGACGACGACGACGACACGCTCCTCTCGGTTCTCGCACGAAATCGGGGCGACCTCCGTTCGTCGCTGAGGGAGCCGTGCCGCCGCCGCGCCTGACGGGCTTGAAGGGGGTGCTCGTGTGTGAGGTGGAAGGGGGGGGGTGTTGCACGTTCCCCTTCCCTCGCGCCAGCGGTAGCCCAAGGCCGAGCTGCCCGGATTGGCCGGGGAGGGCCGCGAGCTCCGCCCGCTGTAGCCGTGCTTGCCTGGCTTGGAGAGAGGGAGGGGAAGAAGAGCGGGGCTGCGCTCCCTAGTCTGGAGCGGGAGCCTGGCAGCGGCAGGAGCGGTGGCGGCGGCGGCTGCTAAGGAGCCGCCGGAGCCTGCTGGTCGGAGGAGTCAGCCCCGTTGCCTTCCGCCCCGGGTGCGCGAGGCAAGGAGAGTGGGCCCCGTCTCCACCGATCCATGACCATGGGCGACAAGAAGAGCCCGACCAGGTGAGGAGGAGGAGGAGGAGGAGGAGGAGGGAAAGAAGTCGGGGCGCTTTGGCGAAGCGGGCTTAAAACAGAGAGAGAGAGAGAGGGCTTCTCCTAAGATGGAGGGAGTGTGGAAAGGGAATAGAAAGGAGTATGCGCGGGTGCCAGCTAGAGCACCCACCTCCGCTTTATGCTCTGGGGAGGCGCTGCGTGTGGGGACTAGGCCACAGAGTGGTAGTAGTGGTGGTGGTGGTGGTGGTAGTAGTAGTAGTGGTAGAGGAGGGGGCTTTTAAGATGGAGGAAGTGAGTAAGGAAGAGAGCCTTGTTTGTTTGCCTGCCTGCCTGCCTCCCTCCCAGCCAGGTACGGAAAACTCCTTTTTTCTCAATGGTGTTGGGTGGAGAAGAGGGGAAGCTGAAGTTCCTTGTGTGGTAAGACGTGGGGGGAGGCTGTATTCTGTGGCCAGGGTAGCTCTTAAGATGGAGGGAGTGTGTAAAAGCAAAGCGGAGAGCAAATGTTTGTGTTCCTCTGTGTGTGTGTGTGTGTGTGTGTGTGTGTGTGTGTGTGTGTGTCGGTGCCAGGGCTAATCTGGTGTTAGAGCAGCTATGGCGGCTCCTCACTCTCTTTTCACACACATACATCTCCTCACACTGACTTCTTCCAGACAAAGGGAGATTTAACAAGGTAAAAGAGACAGACAGACAGACAGACAGAGGGGGCGCATGGAGGGACACGCCTACAATCCTTTAAAGTACAATTAAGCTCCCCCTCCCCACCAAAAAAAGAGGGAGGGTTTCAAGCCCTCTCAGATGCCTTTCACCATCCTTTTCCCTTCCCTTCTAGATTCACTGGTACTCTGTGTTGAGTGAAAATCGATTGTCTTGGGATTGAAGATTGAGAGGAAATGTTATCCTTTCCTCTCTTACTCAGGGATATAGTAATGGGGGAAAGCAGAATATGTATCTGGTGAGAGTGAGGCACAGTGTGGTTCAGGTTTATCAATATTTTGCACCTCTTCCTGCTCCCTCTCCCTTTTACCTCTTTCCCATAAAAATGGGATTACTTTTTTAGCCAGAGGAAAAAAAAGAAACAGACAAGCAGAATGTAACATGAAATAGCCTTGTTTTATTATCTTGTTTCTAACACGTTTTATTTCTTCTTTCCTTCCTTACCCCTCTTCATATATATATACTTCTCAAGACCCAAAAGGCAAGCTAAACCTGTAGCTGATGAAGGTTTTTGGGATTGTAGCGTCTGCACCTTTAGAAACAGTGCTGAAGCCTTCAAATGCAGCATATGTGATGTCAGGAAAGGCACTTCTACAAGGTATATTAGTCATATTGAAATATCTCCATTCTTAATTGTAATAAAGTTGACTTGTTGATTTACCATAGTGATAGCAGCATGAAATAACTGGAAGAGAAAGGTGTTTAAACTTGGTATTTTGTGTTGTGACCTTTCAATAAAATTGAATATTTGTAAAGGTATAATATTTGATATTGTTAATAATATGACCTGTTTATACATCAAAAGTTATTGAGTATTTCTTGGGACATTTAGATATAATTGGAAGCTTGGGTTTTTCTGTGACATTTTGGTTTCAGGAATGCTGCTGAATAAAATAAGAGATGCTAAGAGAAAGAAGCATTAACAACTTCAATTTATCAATATATTTGGATGTGATATTGTATGGTACAGTAAGAAGAGTATAAATATAGAATAGAATAGAATGTTTTATTGGCCAAATGTGATTGGACACACAAGGAATTTGTCTTTGGTGCATAAGCTCTCAGTGTACATAAAAGCTATAAGTGATAAATCAAAAACATTCAGATTTGTGTATATTTTAAGTATACTGGATGTTCTATGTGAAATACCAGAGCTTAGTAGAAAGCCTGTGTTGTCCAGAATAGTATAAAGTATAAATACTAGATAAAAGATAAAAGTATATATTTTCAGCAGTGCTGAAGAAATTACAATAGATTTATGAGAACTTGGGGTATCCTTTCTCATATTCTGATTGTTATCCAGATTGTTGGAAATTCTTTGAAAAGTCTAAAGCTGTTACTGATATTTCTTTCAGGTAATTAAGTTTAGAAGTTACCTATTCTGTATACTCACAGGGTTTTTTATGATGAAAGTATTTGCATATGTTGTTGCAGACTTATGTTAATTATTTCTATAGAAATAGTTGTTTGTGTGAAGTTTAAACTTTTAGGCAGTAGATTATTTGTGGAGTTAAGTGACTTGGAACAGTTCAGAATGTGTTCACAATATTTGGATATTTAATCAAACAAAATCCTTCTACATGTGTGAAAACTTTGTGACACGTGGTCTTTTTTTGATGTCTTCTGAATACATTCCTGTAGATAACGACTTTATCTTTGCAAGTCTTATACTTTTCTAAACAGAACTGATTTAACCTTGTGAGAGTAAGTATAGTAAAGAGACAATACTGTCTGAATCCACCTGTAGCTCGTTTTCAAACCTGTTGATACTCATTTGTTCCTTTATTAAAATATTTTTTAGATTTTACTCTGCATTTATTGGGGACAGACAACCAGCTTTTGGATAGATATAGTCTGTTTTTGTATTTGCACTGAGCATGATCAAGATCTCTCTTCCAATCAAGAAAATCACCTTTGTACCACATGTCACAAGTTGTATGGGTCTATCTTTTAGCTTTAGCTGCTATAAAGGAGGCTGGAAAGCTATTACTTCCAAATACAATTATTTTCTTATTCTCTACTCCCACCCTGCTTTGGTATATTGTTTCAGTTGTGATATGATATTACTTGGTTCTTCGTGATAAATTCTTAGCCACCCTCACCTCTTCTGCCTCTTTCACACATTCCTTTCAGGGCTGTGGAAGAGCTCACTGAGAAGAACAGGAGTTTTCATAAGTTTGGTCTAGTTGAGTTTGTCTCATGTCAACTAATTCCCCAGTAATTAGGAGTGTGTTTTTTGATACACAGAACAATTGACTAGGGAATGAATATTTTTTTAAAATAAATCTACCATGTATAGCTGTTCATCTCACAACAGAGGATTTTGGATGACATACAACAATAAAATAAAACATATAATCATTATTAAAATATGATTCTTAAAAAATCATTCTTAAAAATGCAAACCATCAGATATAGGAAAGATTATAAATGAATAAAAGAGCCATCTAAAAATACCGCCAGTCCCCCTGGACCTCCATCCTGATGACAAAGGCAGGTCTTGAGGGACTAGGGAACATTAGCAGGATGAAGCTAACCTTACTTTGGGGATGGTGGGGAGAAGATTTCAGAGGCAGACCCTACAACAGAGAGAGCCCACCTCCTGGGACCATCAAATGTAAGTCCCTAGCAGATGGGACACAAAGCATACCATCTCTGCCAAATCTACTGGCACAGGCAGATGTAATTGTGGAGAATCCGTTCCTCAGGTAACCTAGATGAATATAATTCAGATAAATACAATCTATAATAAGATAGTGTTTATTAGGGGCAATATCGAACACCCTTTGGATTAGTTAAATGAATCATTTGTTCAGGTTAGAGAATTCATATGAAATACTTACCCCCTCATGCCAAGACCTATTTCAGTGTGCTTAGCATATAGGACTACTGTCTAAACTTTCTCCATAGTTTTTTTGGAATGTACTGTTTTGTGTTTATTTTATGTTGGTAATCAATTATGAGTTGTCTGTGTATTAGATATATAGTGTTTGAGAGCAATAATTGTAAGCCCTTTCTATAGGGCTGGGCAGACTTTATTATGGAGATTTCATTCCCATGAGCAATTACATTTATGAAGTAAAACAAACTTCAAGCCCTCCCATATTACAGATGATGAAACGTTTCCCTGTAGAATGCAGAAGCTGATCACCACATCTGTATAACTAAATTCCAAGACCTCTATGTGTCTTTATTAGTTTTAAGATAACATAATTATTTATATTGATACTCATGATGTTTTATATAATTTTAACTATCATAGAGTGAAACTGAATATGTCAAACAGTTTAAATAACAGTATACATCTGAACTTTAGATATGAGTTTTTGGTTGTGGCTCGGAATGATGAGTTACTGTATATGACGCAAGTTGTTTTCTAGGGGAATTTTTAATTTTTTTTAATAGACACTTGAAGTACAAAAATGCCACACTTGTTGATTATTACTCAGAATATTTACATCTAATGCAACAGTTGGTTTGCATGTTTTCATACAGAAAAGTTGCCTGTTAAGATAATTTAAAATCTAATTCAGCCTCTTTGTATTAATAGCAATCTTTAACAAATTGAGTGATATTACTGAGAGAGAGGAAATTTAGAATTGTGAAATTGGATTGATGCAGACAGACTTTTCTATCCTCCCCCCCTTCCCCCACCCCCAAGATTATACAGGCAAGTTAACATGACTTTATGTATTTGATTAGTGACCGGTCTTTCTTACAGACACCTCAAATAGTATGCATAGAATTCCCTTCTTGCACCTGTGCCTCCACACACGCCCCTCCCCCCACCACCACTTGTTGATTATGCTGGAATTTTAGAAATCCCTGAAGATTGGATAGTGATATTGTCCATTAATTGAGCTATTTTGAGAAGATGCCTTGTGTAGCATTGCATAGCATTTAGAGGAAGAGGGGTGTACAAGGATATTTTGTGAATAAGGGGTGGACAAATGGCTTGTACCTAAATCTGAATTGAAGTTAGAGTTACTGTTTGTATCGGGTAGTAGCAGGATATATGAATTAGAGCAGTCTTTCTTACACTGTAATGTTTTGTTGTGTTTTTACACTCCTTTAACAATAAGGAATTAATGCAGGCCACATATTGTAAATCAGATCAGTTACGTATTGGTTTACTATAGTTTTATGTAGTTTTGTATGTTTATAGATTTTGAACTGAGTTATGAGAGTTAGTTTTCTGTTACTTTTGATATGTTGATGTGTTGGTATTTATGAGTAAAAGTGAAAGCGTTGCTTGTTTTTTTTAA